GGGGCCAGCTAGTCAGTTCAAATACCAGTTCAGCAAACCAGATACAAATTTAACATCTGGTTCACCCGAACTGGTCTGAACCGGTAGAATTCCACCCCTGTATATTTTGTAACAAGGCTTCATGAAGTGCTGTGGGATAAAGATAACGTAACAGTGCTGAATATAGGTGATCTTTCTTACATTAGCACTATTGCCCCAACATAAAGATGTATTTAAGAAATGTATTATTTTTCTTTTTAAAATAACATTTACTGATGATTTTAATGCAATACTGGGAACAAATGACCAGATTCGGTTTGGTAAATTCAGTTATCATCAAAAAAATAGATTTATGTTTCCTCTCCTTATTCAATTTTCCTAAAGAGAAAATTGGAGATTGTGATTAAGTCAAATCTCCAGGCAATGATTTATCACTGCTGAAATTATAAATGGCTAAACAACTTATGCCCATTGGGTCATCATTTTGAGATATTTCCTTACTTAAACAGAGAAACAGAATTACTATGGATGGGCAAAAAGCTACGGGAGTGACTTCCAACTTCTTCTGGCTTCCCTATTGGCAGGGAAAGGAGGAAGCTGACAAGGAACATTGAAAACCTTCCTTCCTTCCTTCCTTCCTTCCTTCCTTCCTTCCTTCCTTCCTTCCTTCCTTCCTTCCTTCCCTCCCTCCCTCCCTCCCTCCCTCCCTCCCCACCCATCTTTTAATTCCTTGCGGCTTTTCTGTTTTTCTGTTTACTTTACTTGTGGTAAGTTTGCAGGGAGAAAGTTAGTGAGAAAGCCAGCAGAAAATTGCAACTCCAAGGTCAGCGGGCAAGTATGTCTAGTGAGGAAAAAAGGCATTGAGAGAATAGCTGCAAAACTGTTGCAGAACATTTAAAATGAGCATCATGTGACAACAGTAGTAGCCCAGCAGTACTGAAACAGCCCTAACTTCCCCACATTTATTCTCTCTGCAATCATGGGTTCCAAATCTTGGACAGATTCTATAAGTTAGCTCATCTGAGGTACCTCATCTGAGGTAGTTCAAAAATTGTTTTAGCCAGGAATGAGAATTTTAGTAGTATACTAGAATACTTGTGCCCAATTAAAGGTTATAGGAATGAGAGTTTTAGTGGTATATAGATATTTAATAATCTGGAATGATAGATGCTGTTAGCACCTCTGTTTATTTACTTATTAAATTTATATGCCATCCAACTATCCAGAGTTTACCTTCATGGATCATATTGCTCTGATTTCAATGGAGTGCACCTTTGCTATTATAATGTCTATTTGTAAAAAAAGAAATTCAGATTTGCCTGCCAATTTAAAGATGCATCCCTCTTTAAATATACATTAAATGGCAAACTTTATGCCCAAGATATTTATAAAAATCTTATATATTGGGTTGTATTTTGTTCATATGTTGGCTGATGAGTAGATAGGTTTTAGAACACAAAGCTAGATTATGGATCATGATTTAATCATACATAACATCTAGTGGAAAATAATATTGCTAAAGCAAAACCTGGTTGTATGCTGTCCTTATTGATTTTAGGTTTGCATTTAGATATACATCTAGAATGTGGTACTAACTTAAAAATTATATTATAGACAGATGTTTGCTGAAGTCAATATGCAAAAGTTTATGAAAATTCTAAATTAAAAATCTCAGGGAATGTAAAAAAGACATTACTCCAAAAAAATTCCTGTCCATGTTAGGCAGAGCTGTATCATGATATTCTTGCTATTTATGGTAATCTACTTAGCAATTATTTTGTGACTAAGTTAAATAACTTCATATATCCTCCAAAACACATTTATAAAACAATGAGGTCTGTTTATATGCAGAGCATATAGTGCTGTTAATATGTACCAGTTAGTTACTAACCAGCTTTGCATATTTTGGCTGATTATTGTACAGATAGATAGAATAGAATTCTTTATTGGCTAAGTGTGATTGGACACACAAGGAATTTGTCTTGGTGCAAATATTCTCAGTATACATAAAAGAAAAGATACATTTGTCAAGAATCATAAGGTACAACATTTAATGATAGTCATAGGGTACAATATTGTACAGAGGAAGCATTGGGAAAAAATTATTCCAAAATATATTTGGTAAACAGTCAAGGGTGTCAAACTCAAGGCTCATAGGCCAGATCTGGTGCTTAGATGTGGCCCTGGAAACAGCAAAGGACTGGCTCACAGTGCTTCTGCCAGCAAAAATGCAGGGGCTGGCAGAGGGCTGTTTTCACTGGCACAGGGCTGCAGGAGGCCATCGCAGCTGAAAAGGGGTGTGGCGGCCTCCTGAGCCCTCTGTCAGCAAAAACGGGGCTAACAGAGGGCCGTTTTTTCTGGAAAAGGGCTGAAGGAGGCCAAAATGAGGCATGGGGAGTATGCACAATCTCCTGGCTCCATTTTCACTGGCAGAAGGCTATCAAAACAAACTAAAAAAAGGGCTTTCAGTTTGACATCGCAGCGGGACTGGATGCAAGGAGTGAACCTCTGTAAACCTGCACCAAATCCTCCTCATTGGAGGGCCCCAGAGTGCTAAAGTCACCCTGTAGGCATGACAAATAAAGGAGGTTGCAGAGAATGGCGGCTGCAGGTTGCAGAGAATGGCGGCTCTCCAGCTGGACCCAAGGATTCCCTCCCATCCAACAACAAAAAGGAGAGGCAGCCATTATGGCTGCCGTGAAGCTGGAGCAGCCAAAGAAACATGGGAAGTGCTGGAGCAGTGTAGAAGAACAGTGACTGGAACTGGGTGAGGTGGGTTTTTTTGTTTTTTTTTGCTTAGAACCTAACTTCAAAGAAAATAAACCCTGGAAAAGAGACTCTTTGAAATGCTTGTCAAAGCGGCAATTAATTACAGAGAGAAAAACTACAGACCCAGGGAGGAAAAGGAACTAAAGGAAGAAGGCAAAATCCTTAAAATACAGAAAGATTGGATTTTTAAATTTTATTAGCAATATTTTGGTTAGGCATTTTAAAATGCTGGAATCACTTGCTTGAATACTGACTATTTGCAAAAAAATGGAAATAAAGATTGGTCAGATTTTGTGCAATGTTGAAATCTAAGCTGAAGACGCCATCTTCTGGTGAATGAAATATATACTAAACTCCTACAACCTTGGGAAGTGCTGATAAAACAAGGATACAGAAGTGGAATTAATAACACCTGGAGGTCTGCTGTGTTATTTACTGTGCTATATTTTTATTTTATGGCTATTGGAGGTTTAATTGTGAGATTATGAAAGACATTTAAAGCAAGTGATTTTTAAATATTAGGATCTATGACTGAACTTACAGAATGGACTTAAGGAGAGATTTGGAAATCTTCCTGGATCATTTAAATAGAACTAATTAACTAATTGTGGGATACAAAGAATTATAACCATTGCATCACCCTGAGGAGCAAAGGACTGAGCAAACGGTTTTTAAGCTGGCTCTCGGGGGTTATAGATAAGTGAGACTCTGGGGTGGTGGCAGACTACTGACAGGCTATTGAGCAATATTTGGACCTATTAAAAGACAAGATGTTGCACCAGGGGGAGATGACTCAATTTCAAAAAGAAATGTATTTATAATACGTTGACAAAGAATCACAGGGAGATAAAAGACTTAATGCAGGGCATTCTGGGGAAATCAGAAAATGTTCAACAAGGGATAATAAATAAAGATCAGAAAACACAGAAAACAGAGGAAATAATAGAAAGACCAGAAGAAAAAACAGACCAGATAAAGCAACAAGACAAACAAGAATAGTGTTGTGGTTCGCTGGCAGCCTGTGCAGATGACAGCGGAATTGGAAAGTGGGGAAGAACAAGGACCAGTCCGGGAGTCTGGGGAGATGCAGAGATGGGTCTAGAACCATCTGGGAGTTGTGTGCTGACTCCGGAGCCTCCAGAGTCTGGCAGCAGCGAGGCAGAGGAACAAGGGGAGCCTGTTCCCAGTGCGTGTGTGTGAGAGCAGCTAAGAGAAAAGAGCAGCTAAGACAAAAGGGGCGACTTGGGAGTAAGGCTTGGAGGTGATTGCCCCTCCCCTAAGGTATATAGGAAGTGCAAGGGTAGAGAAATCTTTACAGGAAGCAAAGTTGTTCGCTCTGTTCAGATTAAACATTGAAGCTCTGTGTGGACTTTGTACTTCGGTTGGTTTTTTACAGTTAATTTGGCACTTTAGTTGTTGGCAGCAATTCAAAGGAGATAAAGGTTGGTGCTTATCTCGAGGGATTGTTTGGAACACATTACGGGCTGGGAATGAACATAATTCCCAGCAATGAAATAAAACAAGAGCTGTTTGGACTAAGCAGGTGCTTAATTACGGTCTCAGGAAGCCTTCGTCAGAATAAATAGAAGGAGAAGACAATAAAGACTTATGAACCCTAACCCAATACGCCCCCCTAGAGTGGTCCAGGAGGCCTTCCAGGCCTAAAATGGAGCCTCCAGAGTGCTGCAGGAGGCCTTCCAGGCCCAAAACAGCCCCACCCAGAGTGGTCCAGGAGACTTCCCAGGCCCAAAATGGCGGCCTCTGGAGTGCTGCAGGAAGCTTCCAGGCCCAAAACAGGGCCCCCAGAGTGGTCCAGGGGGCCTTTCAGGCCCCCAAAAGAGCCTCCAAGAGGTCCAGGAGATCTTCCAGGCCCAAAATGGAGCCTCTGGAGTGCTGCAGGAAGCTTCCAGGCCTAAAAAGCCCCCCCCCCCCCGAGTGCTTCAGGAGACCTTCCAAGCCCAAATAGGGGCCTCCAGAATGTTGCAATGAGGCCTTCCATGCCCAAAACAGGGCCCCCAGAGTGGTCCAACAGAGCCTCTAGGGTGGTCCAGGAGGCCTTCTAGGCCCAAAATGGGGGCCTCTGGTCTAGGAGGCCTTCCAGGCCCAAAATGCCCCCCCCAAGTGGTCCAGAAGGCTACCATTGACTCAGAAGGTTATAAAAGGGAGGAGAAGTAAAATATTTTACCTTTCAGGCTCTGCTACTTTAGCCTATGTCAACAATTTTGTAGTTCTAGTCTTCCTATGGAATCAGTTTCTTGATCTGGTCTCTCTTTCTCATAAGGTGATCAAGTAGATCAAGTATTTAAAAAAACAAAATCACAGAAATATACGCCTCCCTATTTTTATAAGTTTATAAAACCATGCCTGCGGAGATGTACTCCTGTGTCTTGCCCACCATGGCCATGCCTCCACCGGGCCTCCAAAGTCAAACCCAATCCTGTTGTGGTCCTCAATGAAATTGAGTTTGACATCTCTGTTCTAGCAGGACATTATTTGTACCAGCTGTTTTAAAAGTATTTGTAGCAAAAGAGTGAGCAAAATACCTACGTAGACCTAAATCATTAAATAATTACTGGGCATAAACTTTTGCTACAAATATGCTTGAAACTACAAAGTAATTTTCTAACGATTATTTTCCAAATGGTGTGAAGTGTATCTAATGCTCATAAAACTGGTATGATTAAAGCAGAAACCAGCATGTAGCTATGTTTATTTTACTTCTGGCTGAAAGTATTATTTCAAGTGAACCTAATCTCCTTGATCCTGGCTGATAATTTTAAATTGACTTAAGCAAGACAAATTATTTCAGGATTATGGGTTTTATGGGACATATTACTAATGTCAAATGTCAGTGTTGTTAGATATTGCAAGTGAAGCATAGGCTTCACTCAGGTCCAGTGTAGCGGTGGGAAAATTGAGAGCTGTGATTGAGCCCTCTGACAGCCCCTATAAAAGAGGGAGCTATCAGACAGCCTTCGTTGGGTTGTACTGTTCTTATTAAATAAAGAGCTGTTGTTACTGAAGATCTGGCTCCTGTTTCTTCAATCTCCCACAACTTTACAAGTATCAAGCCTTAAATAAAGTATTATAGGAAGAGAAAAATAATTAGATTTTCCTGGCTCTACTTGGATGTTTTTCAGTAGCCAATCACACTATTTCAGACCAGCCAAGAATTTACACCAGCAAATATTCACTCCCACATTTAGGATACTATTAGCCTCAGGTAGTTTTAACTTACTTCTAACAACCATTCTTGAAGGTAAGTTCAGGAAAATCCCTTATATATAGTCCACTTTATATAGATTGCTATCTTTTGTAGCCCTCAGTAATTTTTTTGATTATTTAGTACAGTTGTTAGCTATCTCTGTGTTTGAATGTGGCTACATTGCTTTATTGTTTGTAAAACCCATTATAACCAATCACATTATTTGTGGATAATGTGGATAAATAAACATTATTGTTTATTTTTATCTGCATTTATTTTGTAAGTTTTAATATGTACCTTCTTCTAAATGAAATTTATGTGATTGACATAATAAACCTGTCTAATTTTAAAAGGTGCTTTATTTCTTTCCATGGGATCAAATTCAAAAACTTACTCTTCCTTTGATTAATGTTATCACAGAGGAACACATATGTTCAAAAGAGTCTGTGTACTTACCTGGAGCAGGCAGAAAACCATCGTCCAGACTGTCATCTAGGAAAACTCCAGTTGGATCTGAACTGTATCTCTGGACAAAGCTGTCTTCTCTCACTGGATGGCCCTGCTAATTGTAATAAAGTTCAGATTAATAAGAAGATTCAGTATTGTTGACACAAAAAGGCATTCTAATTCCAAATAATGGCTTGCTTATTTATTTTATTCTAATGCATAGATGTATACACACACACACACACACACACACATATGTATGGTATTCGGCTTTGTTTGGGTATTTTCCCACGTCATTATAATTGTGCTTTTAAAGTTGTAGCAACGTTTCAGCAGAATCTCATCTGCCATCTTCAGGCTTGTGTATTGGGTTCGTCTGTGTGTCAGGCTTTTGCAGCCGTTTCTGTTTATATATATGTATGTATGTATGTATGTATACACATACATACATACATACATACATACATATATATATTTGTTTTCTTAAGTTTTCGCGGGTACTTACATGTATGTTATTCTGTGAGACGAACACAATACAGAAGACTGATGATGGCAGATGAGATTCTGCCGAAACGTTGCTACAACTTTAAAAGCACAACTATAATGACGTGGGAAAATACCCGAACAAAGCTGAATAACTTATATATACATATATATACATACATACATACATACATACATATACATATACACATACACACATATATACATATGTATATGTATATGCATACATATATATATATATAT